TACAGTGCATGACAATTCAAACATCTGTTGTATAAAATCATTGTCTGATTTCATTGATAGAGAGTCTGCAAACTCAGACAGCGTCAATTCACAATCTAATATCTCCCTTGTCTTCGGATCACTCTCTAAATCATAAAAAATAAATTGTCATGGACATGTATCCTAACATGTATAATCTATGTACCAAGTTTGAATGACAACTGACAAAGCATGTCCAAAATACAACATTTTCAAAAAACAAGATGGCTGCCAGTCGGGCATTTTGAATTCGAATCGCTAAACCACTGCATGTGCATATGTCTCGCATAAGGTACTAGGCATATATATATACAAGTTTATAAAACACAATAAGTTTAAATGTCAGTTTTTTTAATGTGTTATGCAAATATCTATTATGTAAACATTTTCCCATGATGCAGTGCAATAAACATGGTGAAAACATTCCAAAGATGAAAGTGTATATTCTGAATATGTACTGAGAATAAAAACAAGAATTAAAATCATCAACTACAGATCTGATTCAAAAGTTGATTCTTGCAAAACAAACAATACAATAATGCCGCATATATCATATTTCATACTGTATTTGCTCCATGGTGGAAGCTAGCATACCTTGACCTGTTTTTTTTCTTACAGTTATATATGGATAATTGATGACCAAGCATTTTCATGGATTACATGCGCTATCATTTGAGATGGAGATATGCAACTGATAGAAAAATATAGTATAATTCTGTCTTGCATAACTCATTAATCTGACATTGCCCTGGGTAATGTTTTGGATAAAGGTTCATTGTTTCAGAGATCATCAGAACAAAATATTTTTTGTGGCCTTTTTTTCTCGAAATTGTTTGTACAATCAAGTGTTTTTCACATCCACGCCCGATGACAACACAAACTGGCTTTCTCATACAATCGATCTGCACTTGGTTCTGTAATTAATTTATAATGCTTTTTACTTGAGCAAAACATCGCATATTTTGTCGAGGGAATTTAAAAAAAAAAAGATGTTGTTAAATATGACATCTCTTGATATATGCATCATATTACATTTCCTTTAATCTTTTTGACGTCATGTCATAAATGCATAGACATGTGGTAAGTTTCAGATAAATACATTACTATCCAACCTATCAGACAATGATTGGCCAAAATGTAATACCGGTAGCAGAAATAAGGAATTATATATAATCATTATATATAACTTACTGAGCGTGAGTAATCCAACAGCTGTAAATGAACCAATAAAATACCATTCACTGTGATCAAAGTAATCAAAACCTTGAACATCAGTACACTGCTCCATGTCAGACTCATTCAACTGCTTTGGTTGGGGACAAAGGTCATCTGCAATATTAAAACAATAATACATAAAACATGATATAACCATAGTGTTTTATTGAATTCTTGCTGTAAACATTCAAATTGTGAGTATGTTTCCCTTTTCTACCTCTTGAGGGCAGCTGATATGTACACTCACCAGCATAATGGTGAAAGACATCTTTCTGTATATCACCAGGTGTTATGTTTGTAACATTAATGATTATATCGTACAATGTAGTGTCCCATATCACTTTCAATTCCTCCGCTGTGAATAAGCTGAAAATTAAAGAAATTTTAATGATTATATTTCAATTATTATTATATTTATTTTTTATACATTGTTTTGCATGACACTTTGTAAACAGATTCAATTAGGAATGAGTGATTGTAAATTTCACTTGCCAGTCAAAGTCATGACATTTTGTAAAAGTAGACATGTCACTGGATCTTAACAAAGTGACAGTGACATCCACAAGGGAGTCTTGGGGCGTCTAAGTGACTTCCACAATGGTCCTGGGAAGTCCACAAAGTTCCTAAAGTCAAAATGACTTCTAGAAGGGTCTTACAGTGCTCACAGTG